TGGAAAAATCGCGGCGAGTGGTTTTTGGTTGTTTTTGGCCTCACCGGGCCTTCGCCAGGCCCAGGGGCCGTCCAAGAAGGGCTCAGGATGCAAAGCCGGGCCCAAGGATTGTGTCGAGATTTCGGGGGCCCCCCAAAAAACAAGACGTCGGGCTACTGGTGCGTTCCAAGGCTTCCGGAGTCTCCTCTCTTCCAAGCTTTGGTTGGGAAGTGTGGTGCCGCAGTGTGCATTCGACAATCGGCCGTCGCCGATGGATCGGGGAGCTGCACGGCCCTGGGGCGCGTGAAGTGGCCGAGGAGGAGGAGGAGGAGGAGGAGGGATGGGGGGGCATGTGAAGAAGAGTATGGGTGATGAGGAAGACGGGGTAGGGTGGTTGGAGGAAGGAGGAGGGGAAGGGGAATAGGAGGAGGAAGAGAACACAGAAGGGGGAGGAGGAGTAGAAGGACAAGTGAGGAGGGAGACGTGTCCGCTAGTTCGCAGAGGTAGTGTTGCAGACTTCCTGGGTCGAGGGGGCGAAGGATGCTCGGGGAGGAGTAGCATAGCGTTGTCCCCGTCCTCTTCCTTGTCCTCCTCCTGCTCACCCTCCTCGTTTTCTTCTTGCCGTCTTCCCCTTCCTCCCTCCACCTCCCCCTCGGCCTTCTCTTTCCCTCCCCCATCTTTCAATTCTCCCTCTCATATCCCCTTGTCCTCCTCCTCTCCCCTTCTTTTGTTTGCGTTCTCCCCTTCCCTCCCGCTCCTGTCCTCCTTTCCCTCCTCTCCGTCCACCCACTCGGCCTCGGCAGAAGCTGAAGACCGCAGCCGGGGCCGAGTACAAGGTGAACGCCGACGGAGGTGCACCAGGGTCGGGCGCTGAGCCTGGATGACGAGGAGGACGACGTCGGTGAAGAGGGGAAGAATAAAGATGAGGGCAATCACGACGATGACGAGGAGGACGGGGAAGGATATGGAATGGACGAGGACGAGGCAGAGGAGGAAGAGATATGGAGATAGTCCGACGCAGGCAACGGCCGCTGCGAGCGACAGCTTAAACAAAGCAAAGAGCTGGGGCCCTGGCGCAACCAAGGCGGCCTCCGGGTGCACCCGAGCAGGGGTCACGTTGGAAGAGAGTTTCAGGTCGGCCCGACACTGTCCTTGTGCGCGCAAAGGGGACCAGCAAAGAAAGTCACCGATTGCTCCGGGACACATTTTGGACGCACCTTGCCTGTCCTGGGCGCCAGGCTTTGGCACGAAATTGGCACGAAACTCTTCTTGGTGAACCATGTGTTGGTGACTTTCTTGGGCCGCTTCGGGGCCTCTCGAGGTTACCGGTCGACGTCTGTCTCAGGCGTGTGGATTCGACATGCTACGCTCCCTGACCCACGCGCCCGGGGTGTGGGGTGGGGTTGGGCGCACCCACAGTTTTTGCCATCATCAGGCCTTCCCTTGTTGACTTCCCACGAACAGGATCTCCGGCCACGGCTCCGGAGAAGCCAGGCGCAATCTTGCACGTGTGCTATGCCCCACCCCTCCCGCTCTCTCCCCCTCTCTCCCTCTCTCCCTCTCTCCCGCTCTTCCTCTCTCCCCTCTCTCTCTCTCCAACTCCTGGACCTTGACTCGCCCTCCCAGGGTCAATGCGGCCCGGTAGACGTCACCCGCTTCTTCAGACTCCCTCTTTCTTTCCGCTGCGGCATGTCAGGAATATGGGGTATGTTCTGACCTCTTGCCATATGCGGTACTGTGTCACATCTTCGGTGAGGTTGTTGTAGAGCGTCATTTTGCATGAATGATCGTTCGGATCATGGGGGCATGCGCCTACAACGCTCCAATACTTGCATCCCCTCTCCTCCCCTTTCCTCCTCCGCCTTGTTCCCCTTCTCCTCCTCTCGCCTCGAACCCCGCATTTGCTGTGAATATTCCGGCCGCTGATCATTGTCGTGTGGCTGCCGGCGATGAGCCGCCTGTCGGGCTTTGGTGTATATGTCTGCACCGGGCGCTGCCCTTCCCAGCAAGGCAGGACCTCGGGGTCCACCTCACGTGCACGGTGGGGTTGCCAGTGGACTGTCTAGTGAGTTTTTGCGTTCTTGCTGTGTTTGAGGCCCTCAGACCCGTGGAGGCTCCTGGGGCTCCCAAGAAAAACATCAGACTCGTCTTTGTCAGGTATTCGCTTTCAGGAGCTGAGATGTTCGAGGACTTCCGCTTCAACGACGCCCACCCCTTCCCTCTCGCCCCCCTATTGTGAGGGCCGTCGTTGCGCCTCATCCGTGAGAATCGCCAATTTGCCCTACACCTCGCGCAGCTTCATTACAGGCGTTGCATGGGTCCCCACCCCCACCTATCATGACGGCGTCAATTTCCATTGGGGGAGCCGAAAGCTCCTCCAGGGATACCAGGGCCGAGAAGACGTCCCTAGAGGAGTGCCCAACGTACCTCCACACCTTTTTACCTAACAGCGAAGACTGATAGGTTTCTAGTTGACTCAAAAGAGCTCACAGATCACTCCACAGGGGGGTCCGGGCAGGTGTTGGGGAGTTGCCGGGCGGCAGGGTGCCGGGCTCGTTTTTCACCAACAGTCACACACTTCGTGCTCTTCGACTTCCCAGAACTCCATTCCCAGGCCACATTCTGAATACCCGGATGCAACAGTCACACACTTCGTGCTCTTCGAGATCCCAGAACGCCATTCCCGGGCCACATTTAGAATAACCGGATGCAACAGTCACACACTTCGTGCTCTTCGACATCCCAGAACGCCATTCCCGGGCTACATTTTGGATGCCCGGATGCAACAGTCACATACTTCGTGCTCTTCGAGTTCCCAGAACTCCATTCCCGGGCCACATTCTGGATGCCCGGAGCCAACTGTAGGCCACTTCGTGCTCTTCGAGTTCCCAGAACTCCATTCCCGGGCCACATTTTGAATGCCCGGAGCCAACTGTAGGCCACTTCGTGCTCTTCGAGTTCCCAGAACTCCATTCCCGGGCCACATTTTGAATGCCCGTAGCCAACTGTAGGCAACTTCGTGCTCTTCGACTTCCCAGAACTCCCATTCCTGGGCCACATTTTCAGCAGGGGCAAGAGCACGACGAGGAGGAGGACGAGCAAGACCAGGAGGACGAGGACGAGCAGGAGCAGGACGAGGAGCAGGAGGAGCAGGAGAAGAAGGACGAGCAGGAGGAGGAGGAGGACGAGCAGGAGGAGGAGGACGACCAGGAGGAGGAGGACGACCAGGAAGAGGAGGAGGAGGAGGAGGAGGAGGGGAGGGGGAGGAGGAGTACCAGGAGGAGGAGGAGGAGAGGAGGAGGAGGAGGAGGAGGAGGAGAGGGAAGAGGAGGAGGAGGAGGAGGAGGACGAGGACGAGGAGGAGGAGGAGGAGGGGGGGGGAGAGTACCAGGAGGAGGAGAACGAGGACCACCAGGAGGAGGAGGAGGGAGGAGGAGGAGGAGGAGGAGGAGGAGGAGGAGAGAACACCAGGAGGAGGAGGACGAGCAAGACGAGGAGGACGAGAACGAGGACGACCAGGAAGAGGAGGAGGAGGAGGAGGAGGAGGAGGAGGGGAGGACTACCAGGAGGAGGAGGAGGAGGAGGAGGAAGAGGAGGAGGAGGACGAGGAGGAGGAGGAGGAGGAGGACGAGGAGGAGGAGGGGGGGGGAGAGCACCAGGAGGAGGAGAACGAGGACCACCAGGAGGAGGAGGAGGAGGAGGAGGAGGAGGAGGAGGAGGAGGAGCACCAGGAGGAGGAGGACGAGCAAGACGAGGAGGACGAGAACGAGGACGAGCAGGAGGAAGAGGAGGAGGAGGAGGAGGAGGAGGAGCAGGAGAAAGAGGAGGAGGAGGAGGAGGCAGGCTGAGGCTGAGGCTGTGACTGCGACTGCCGTTGCCGCTGCGACTGTCATCGCGAATGCGACTACGACTGCGAGAACAGCAGACTTCGACAACTGGATTTTCATCTGAATCTTAAGGGGAATGCTTTCAGATATGCTTCTACACATCGCTGTTAGGTTGCTTTGCCGGGATAATCAACTTTCATTATGGCGTCAATTGCCACCCGGACGGTTTTCCTCCTCCATGAGCCTTCCTCTGTCCTCCCTCCGCGGGCAGTCGCCTGCTGCGCCGCTTTTTCGTCGCCAATGTTTCAGTAGTGCTCGATTGAGCCGTTTGTTCCTCACGCCCGCCTCCCCCTCCTCCTCCTTCTCTTCCTCCTCCTCCTCCTCCTCCTCCTCCTCCTCTTCCTCCCCACTTTCGCTGCGCGCCCAGGGAGGCGCAGATGCCTCAAGCTGTGGGTGGGTGGGGGGGCAGTGACGCGTGGCATGGAAGGGAATAACTAAGGACGGGGGCACAAACCATGGTTCGGATAAGATCTCTGGGAATGTCACGCATCGCCAGGAACAAGTCCCCGAAGTCTTCGAATGTAATTATGCCTTCCCTCCCTTTCTCCCTCGTCTTTTCACCGCCTTCGTTATCGAAGACGCCTACGGCCAATCACCGCCGCCCCCTGCCTTTGTGGAAGCGCTGATGTGGCCGACAGCTGTGCTAGAGCTTGGCCAAGCCATCGGGCCAGTCGTTCCCCGAAACGGTTTCGAAACACGTCGGGGAATGCGTAGGGGAGCAAGAGGTTTGAAATCGCCCATGCATCCGAGCGTTGTGGCCAGAGCTCTGCCAACCCACCAGACCATGTGCTCCCCCAACGGTTGTGGAAAACCTTCGGGGAACATTTGGGGGAGGAGGGGAATATGGAGGAGGAGGAGGAGGAGGAGGAGGAGGAGGAGGAGGAGGAGGAGGAGGAGGAGGAGGAGCAGAAGGAGGAGGAGAAGGAGGAGGAGGAGGAGGAGGAGAAGAAGGGAGTATCTTGGGAGCCTCTGGGGGCACTCTTGGGGCCTCCTGGGAGCTTCCTGGGAGCCTCTTGGAGGCATTTTAGGGGGCCTCCTTGGGCATCTTGGGGACCTTTGGGGGCTTCGCGGGGTCTCCTTGGCCGTCTCAGGGCATTCCTGGCACGTCCGACGCCGTCGGACGCTGTCTTGGGG